TATTGGTCGAATTTTCGTTATACTTTTCGTGTCGCGAAATTCGTGTCGCTTTTCCGTGTCGCAAAAACTTACTACCGTACCAAAAGAAGGAGCCGTCTCGCCAATACCGTACGCCTATTGGTCGAATTTTCGTTACACTTTTCGTGTTGCGAAATTCGTGTCGCTTTTCCGTGTCGCAAAATCGAACTTACTGCCGTGCCAAAAGAAGGAGCCGTCTCGCTAATGCCGTACGCTTATTGGTCAAATTTTCGTTACACTTTTCGTGTCGCGAATCAAACTCACTACCGTGCCTAAAGAAGTTTCACTTAAAAAAATTCTCAGTTTTAATGAAATTGTTTAATTTAAAAGGAATCGTAAAAGCCGGACGAAAATTAATATTTTTGGCCAACGTTGTGAAACTTTCAGAAATAGAATAAATGTATGAAATAATGAAATTAGGAGTCTTATTGTCACTAATGAAATTGTTTTGTGATTGAAAGCTGTGGCATAAAGAAAAATTAAGCACTGACAAAAAAATCAAATGGCTGACTGACATTACCACTACACGCAATAAATGTAACATTCGTGGTATTAATTATTATTGTTCAATTGATTACAACTCAATGGAGTCCGTCAAACCAAAAATTTTTTAAAATAATACTCGCTCAAACGGACACCACGTTAACCTTCCAGCACATACATTCAAACAAAAATCTTCCATAGATTCTCTACAGGATAAGTAGTTTCGCAATTTAAGCAAGATATTAGTAAATGTCAGCTAATATTAGTAGATAAATGTCAGTAAATGTCGGGTTGTTGCTTAAATTGCGAAACCACTTATCCTGTAGAGAATCTATGTGTTGCGGAACCGCATTGTAAACGCTGTACTAAGTCGTAATTCGGCGCGACAATAGAATTTTTTTCTGAGGAAATGGCTGAGCGTTGCACCCTATCCCTTTGCTCAAGTACTCTTCTGGTAGAGTACTATACTGTGTAAAAACGTTTTTCAATTCGGTGACCCCAAGTATGCGGCTTCCCCTTGTTAGTTTATACTTGCTAAGGATCACAAACCATGGTCGAAACGTTGTGTATTTAAACATTAATAAATGGGTCGAATTATAATCTCCTTTGTTAATTATTACTGGTGGAAAAAAATATTACCTTATAGCCGTATTCATAGTCCTTCCTTGAGAAATGAGGAACAAAGAATCCTCATTCCTCAAGGAAGGACTATGAATACGGCTATTAGGTTCAATAATTAATCCAAATCTGCGTAAATGATTCTTTCTAAATACCTGTATAAGAATTTGTAGGATCGCACAGAGTCCATGAGCAGCGCCTAGATATTCTGTGCCGTAATATGCATACATCAGTGGACACGGGCTGTTATGCACTTGCACGTACGTCTTGCCCGAAATAATAATTGTTCTTGCGATTTCGTGCATTACATCAAATGGTACGACGATTTTTTTCATCATGCGATTCAACCATAGCGCACCATATAAGTAGCCGGTACGGCCTACAAAAAACTCGTCTGATCCACATTTTAAAAAGTTTACCTCCTTACAGCGCACTCCCGTTGCTATATAGCGTTTTATCAACTCATTGGCAGTTTCGTTATCTTCTCGAGCGGCCGCAAGAACCGCACCCATTGCCAAAATACCCCAATCGCCTGCAATATATGTAATTATAATTCTATTACTTTATAATGCTTAAAATTATTTCAAATCCTATTTTACTACTTTTCAGCAAATACCAAAAACATTTGATAATAATATAATTGTAGAAATTCTTTATATACTATAAAAATGATCTTGAATATTTAATGATATTACACATCTACATCTACGCCACGTTATCCATCTTATATTTAAAAAATAATGTTTTTATATAGAGTCCCATTTTATGGAAATATCTGTATATCTCCTAAACTTCATATCGTAGAAAAAAATATTTTAGACAAAAGTTTTAAGTTTTAAGTGAGGGGGGGCATATGTCTATGACAGAATTTAATTGAAATAAAAACATATTTAATGCAAAACTGTGGTGCTGCTAAATCTCGGAATATAATGTTAAGGTGAGATTTCATGGGCAGTGAAATGCTGCTGCAGCGAGCAGCAGTTTAGTAATTTCCTAGAAAATACCTAGGAAATACTAAACTTTTCTAGAAATTACTTAGTAATTTCTAGGAAATTACTAAACTGCTGCTCGCTGCTGCTGCATTTCACTGCTCATGAAATCTCACCTTTACGTCCAAATCCTATGATTTTCTAAGAAGGGAAAAGTTGAAAGAGTGGCAGTTGACTTGATTACATCATTTACACGGCCCGATTTACGCTGAAGTTATAACATCGATGTTATAATAACTACTGATCTCAGAGAGCACAAAGATGTCTAAAAGATGACTTATATCCAGAGAGAAACCTGAGAGCGACCACCGGGATCATTCCGTTCCAGCGGACGTATACTGACGCGCCGCTTGAGAAAGTGGACGTCAACTACGTCGTTACGCTCGGTAACGGTACACACATGGTTCGTGTCCGTGCTATGGTTCGTGTCCGAACTACTCAGATGGAGGGGATATGCCAGTCGGCTGACTTGACACTCGGCAAGCTTCGAGCGGGGAGAGAAGGGCAGACATACGATCTGCTGTCTCCTTCTCGCTTGAGCTGTGACGTAGCTGCTTAGCACGCGCCGGCTATGCCACGATGCCATGCATTTCGGGTATCGCTCCTCGCATCTCGCCGAATGTCGAGTCTCGCGTTGGCAAATCGACGATGCGCTATACGTTACACATTTACGTTTATATTTACAAATTTTAATTTTCATATTTATAAATAAATAAATAAATAAATATATATATATATTTGAAATTTATAAATATAAAGATTGCAATTATAATTAATTAAAAAAATATTTATAAACATAAAAATTCGTAAATGTAATGTATAGAAATCCCCGTTTTGGCAAATTTGCTCTTATATAAAAAAAAAAGTCTTACATTAAAAACCTTTACTTTAGCATAATAGTATTTAAATTTAATATTGAAATGCATAACAATAATTACATATTAACTATATCGAGAAAAAAAGTAGTTCATAATGTTCTTTTTACTCTTATTAAATTTATATTAGCTATTAATGTTTATAAGCGGCCACGAGCAACAACAGAGAGATATTGAATTAAAATAAAAACAATTTCTTAAATAAACAATACACATGCTTAACGTTTCGACTGTACTTAGTCTTCTTTGGAACGGATTACTACGATAAAAGAAGATAAATATAAAAAAACATGATAATTAATGTTCAAGTTTACATACTAAAACATTAAACATTAGTCTAGACTAAAACATTAAACATGTTGGCGAACTAATACTATAAACAAAGTAAACAATAATCTAATTAAATCACAAATATAAAAACGCCGGAATAATCGAATAAAACCATAACAAGATAAATTTATATTTATATTGAGAAGTGGTAAAATCTCTTCTGTCAGGAAGAGAATGTAAAGAATTATTAACGGAGGTATCTGATTTAAAAGATCTTTAAAATATATATTTTTCAGGAACTTTTTATAGGGAAACGAAGAAAGTGAATAACGTTAAACTTTGCACGTTCTCTTCACCTTATTTTAAAAATTTATTTTTATTTTTTAAGTAACAAAAATGCTCTTCTTTTCTGTTATATCCTGGTCACCATAAATGACAGACGGTGTAAATAATTCTAGCTGTTCTAGGTATCTGAAACGTAAAAACCAAAAATTTTCTTATTCAGAAGAAGTATATGTGGCTATAGTCTGAACTAGAACTAAACCAATATTTTCATTCTAGGTTCTAGGCGGCTTTTTTATCAAAAATATTATTAATCAATATTAAATAAACCATTTACGATCTGAGCTTAGATTTTATAGTAACCTAATAATATTTTTTATATACTATATTTACATATTTTTCCAACTTTAATCAACTATAATACGCGCCGATTAACTTGTCAGACTTACAACACAGCTCCTATTGGATTAATAAAATCCCCTCACACCCCTCTAATTAAATTGATTTAAATAATAGTAAAGAATTTACTACTCTAACAGGAGCTGTGTTGTAAGTCTGACAAGTTAGTCAGCGCGCAATTTATTAAGATTGGAAAAAATATGCGTGTAATTATACATAAAAAATATTATTAGGCTATTAAGATCTAAGCTCGGATCGTACACGGCTTATTTAATATTGATTGATTGTATAACGGTCATAAAACGGTCATATTTCTCTTATATTATTAAAAATCAGAATAATAAATTTATTTCGCCAGTGAATAGAATAACAGTTAAAGCAGCTTAAATCGACAGTAACTGGCAATATATAACGTCTTTACCGATATGAACATTGAAAAAACCGAGAGCCAACTCGCTTTGTCGAATTCACACAGCACTTTTTCGGATCAATCATCGAGACATTATTAATTTCGACCAACGCTTTTGGTTAGAAGATGTAATTTCTAAATTAATAATTTTAAATTTTATTAAAAATATTATTAAAAATATTATAACTTTTTTCAAAATTTTGTTAATAGAATGAAAATGTGAGCAATACCTTAACGAATTAATAATGCAAGGACATACAGACGTTATTACAACCATTCGAGAAAACTGTTCAACATTTTATGTGTTGCTGCAGAAGAAATTAGTAATGTCGGCGGACAAATTATACGCTAATGGCTAGTGCTGCTAGAAAAGATCGTAGTATTTTAAGGATACATGCTGTAGATGATATTGCTTGTCCCTCGCTTGCAGTTTGAAAATGTTTGATTATTAAAAACATTTGATTATTAAAATCTTACATTCAAAATAACGCTTATAGCAGATAAACAAAAATCTTGTCTGTATTTGACATCACACTTGTAAAAATTAAGCGTGTAAAAAATCTGCAAAAGAAATGTAAACGTGCAAAGAAACTATTGTCAATAACATCACACATACACACCCAGAAGAAAATGTAAATAATTGATTTCTTTATTATCGGTAATAATTTCGTCCGCCAGTGAATAAAATCAGTAAATTCAATTTATTTCTCGATTAACTAGCGCAATATATACAAAGATGCACGACGTTTTGGCTCAAGATTCGAGCCCTTTTCAAGTGCGAACTGAAACAGGAACAGCGAGAAAAAACAAACAATATAAATGAATCGAGATAAATATTAAATTAACGACGTTAAATAGTGAGCAATACCTATATCATCTATTGACTCGTCACATAATTAATACAGATTCCTCAGTTCACGAGCATGTTCCCGCATGGCCATAAAGGTCAGCTGTGGACCAATCTTAATTTGTAGCAACAATGATATGAGGAGAGAAAGCGACGATCAAGAAAAATTTACGAATTCCGTGATAAATTTTCGCGTATGACAGATTCTTCGTTGCGACATGTTACATGTATGCGAGTGCTTGGGAAACTGAGCGGACAAAGAAAGAAACAAGGTGTCCCGAGGTATAAATATAAACATTTAAACAGACATGATGACACTGTCGTATATCGAGTTTAAGTTCTCCGTATCTTTTTTTAAATTAATCGTGTTCTTATTTTTCTTTATAAAGAACATCTCAGCGATCTCTCATTTTCCAGTGAGGTTCTTTGTGTGGTCAATTTTAAGTGGTCAGATCCGAAAATATTACACAAAGAACCTCACTGGAAAATGAGAGAGATCGCTGAGATGTTCTTTCTAAAAAAAAATAAGAACACGATTAATTTAAAAAAAGATACGGAGAACTTAAACTCGATATACGACAGTGTCATCATGTCTGTTTAAATGTTTATATTTATACCTCGGGACACCTTGTTTCTTTCTTTGTCCGCTCAGTCTCCCAAGCACTCGCATACATGTAACATGTCGCAACGAAAAATCTGTCATACGCGAAAATTTATCACGGAATTCGTAAGTTTTTCTTGATCGTCGCTTTCTCTCCTCATATCATTGTTGCTACAAATTAAGATTGGTCCACAGCTGACCTTTATGGCCATGCTCATGAACTGAGGAATCTGTATTAATTATGTGACGAGTCAATAGATGATATAGGTATTGCTCACTATTTAACGTCGTTAATTTAATATTTATCTCGATTCATTTATATTGTTTGTTTTTTCTCGCTGTTCCTGTTTCAGTTTGCACTTAAAAAGGGCTCGAATCTTAAGCCGAAACGTCGTGCATCTTTGTACATATTGCGCCAGTTAATCGAGAAATAAATTGAATTTACTGATTTCTTTATTATTACAATAATTTGAATATTGAAATTATTTTGTACCATATGCTTTCTCACACTTATATGTATGTGATTAATAATAAAATATGTTAATGACAAATAATAAATTACAAGAGCGTATTCTGGTTTGAAAGATCTTAAGGACGTTCTCCGGAAAATCGATTTTCTCTAGATTTTCTTGAAACTGTGAATATACATTAATTTATAGGTGTGCTTTATGTGTAGTTTAAATTTTAGTACCTTTTGCGGTATTAAAAATCGAGATATTGAGCTTCAAAGTTTTAACTTTTAACACGGAATTCCTATTCCGAGGTATTGTGAAACAGACATTTTAATAAATTGTGAAAAAAGTTTTTTCTAAATGTTTTTGAAAGACTAGTATATGATGCTTTATATATAAGAATAGAAATTAATAATATGCGATAAGTTTCAATACCCTTGCGGTACTCGTTTTCGAGAAATACTTGTGTAAAGCACGCGATTTGAAGTTAACTTCTTATTTTTTAGTTGTTATATGTAATATTTAGTAAATTAACTTTAGTAAAATAAATTTTACTTTTTAAGCATGAACACAAGTTGAGTATGACTGGAGCCGGAGAAGGTCTTTAAAAATAGGTATTTTTCAGGAATTTTTTATAGGGGAACGAAGAAAGCGTATAACGTTAAACTTTGCATGTTCTTTTAATCTTATTTTAAAAATCTATTTTTATTTTTTAAGTAAGAAAAATATTCTTCTTTTTTGTTACTTTTATATTATTTCTTGATCACTAAAAGACGTAAGTATGAGAGACGAAGTAAATGATTCTAGCTGTTCTAGGTATCAGAAATGTAAAAATCAAAAATTTTCTTATTCAGAATAAGTGATATGGGCTATCGTCTGAACTAGAATAAACATTTTCTTTTAATAAAATTTTGAAAAAAGTTATAATATTTTAAATAAAAAAGCCGCTCAAAATGGAAATATTGATTTAGTTCTAGTTCAGACGATAGCCACACTTCTCCTGCAGAATAAGAAAATTTTAGCTTTTTGCGTTTTAGATACCTAAAACAGCTAGAATTATTTACATCGTCTGTCATTTATAGTGACCAGGATATAACAAAAAAAAGAGCATTTTTGTAACTTAAAAAATAAAAATAAATTTTTAAAATAAGGTGAAGAGAACATGCAAAGTTTAACGTTATTCACTTTCTTCGTTTCTCTATAAAACATTCCTGAAAAATATATATTTTAATGATCTTTTAAATTAAAATATCTCCGTTAATAATTCTTTATACATTCTCTTCCTAACGTGTGTGTGAAGCTATCGTCTCATTTTGCAGAAACTCACAAATTATTGAGAGTTCTGGCTTCTTTCAAAAAACGCGTTAGTACAAACTGAGACGCTATGTTCACGCAGCGTCTCATTTTGTCCTACACAAGTTCCACCACTGTATCTCATCAGATTTTGCGAGATCTATATAGTTCTATAACAGTTCTATAAAGAGTTTATCTCATCAGATTTTGCAAGATCTATAGTTCTATAACAGTTCTATAAAGAGTTCTGCCATATAAAAGCAAAAAAATTAATTATAAGGTATTAAAAAAAATTACAATGCAACGAGTATACCGGTTGAGACGCCAGTTGAAATCTCGGAGTTCCGGTTTATGTAAAATATTTTTTGAGTAGTTTTGAGCATATTGAAACATTTTCTAAAGAGTTCCGAGCGTTAGAATCTTTGTGTTATATTTAAAAAAATTAATATTAACCAAAAAGTAATCATGACAGAAGAAGATGAGACGCTGTGCGAAATCTCGGAGTTTTGGCTTATATAAAATATTTTTCGTATAGTTCTGAGCATACTAAAGCATTTTCTAAAGAGTTCCCGCCACTAGCTACGTTGTATATGTTTATAAACTTTAGCAAACACTAGCTACGTTGTATAATTTTTAAATAAATTAATACCTCTCAAAAATCAGGAATTTATCGAAAATAAGGTGAGAAGCTGGCCGTATTTCGGCAATTCTGTGAGTTCTGCTATAATTCTCGTGTAGTTCTGAACGTGTTCTAACGTTGTCCCATTTTATTCTGGCAATAAGCATTATTTATTCATTTTTTAAATAATTCTTATCGCTCGCGAAAGACCCTATTCTCGATAAATTCCTGACTTTTGTGCGTTATTAATTTATTTAAAAATTATACAACATTGCCAATGCCCGGAACTCTTTAGAAATTGTCTTAGTATGCTTAGAATTGTACGAAAAATATTTTATATAAGCCAGAACTCCGAGATTTTTTACAGCGTCTCACCCACATACCCGTAAATGCGTCTTTCTTGGTCGATAAAAATTATTTAAAATATGAATAAATAATGCTTATCGTCAGAACTCTTTAGAAATAAACGTTAGAACATGTTCAGAACTATACGAGAATTATAATAGAACTCACTGTTACCCATGTGTATTGTTTATTTAAGAAAGTGTTTTTATTTTTATCCAATTATCCTTCTGTTGTTGCTCGTAATTTGGCCGCTTGAACATGCATAGGTAAAATAAATTTAATAAGAGTGCAAGAAACATTATAAACTACCATTTTTTACTCAATATAGTTAATAATATAATTATTGGTATGCATTTAAATATTATATTTAAAGTTTATTATGCAAAGTAAAGGTTTTTAATGTAAGACTTTTTTAGATAGAAAAGCATAGAACTGTGATTTCTATACATTACATTTACGAATTTTAGTTTTTATGTTTACAAATATTTATTTAATTAATTATATTTGCAATCTTTATATATTTATAAATTTCAAATATATATATACATATATATATATATATATATATATATTTATTTATTTAATTATAAATATAAAAATTAAAATTTGTATACAAGCAAATGTAACGTATATAGCGGGTATAGCGTATCGTCGATTTGTCAACTCGAGACTCGGCATTCGGCGAGACACGAGACGCGATACTCGAAATGCGTTGCATCGTGGTATAGCCGGCAAGCCGGTCCGTGCAAAGCGGCAACGTCACAGCTCAAGAGAGACAGCAGATCGTATGTCTGCCCTTCTCTCCCCGCTCGAAGCTTGCCGAGGGCCTAGCGTACACGGACAGAGGAAAGGCTTGCGCGAGCAGCATATCCTCTCCATCTGAGTAGTTCGGACACGAACCATAGCATGGATACGAACCCATGTATCGTTACCCGAGTCCTCTCTGATCGTTACCGAGCGTAACGCCGTAGTTGACGTCCACTTTTTCAGAGGGCAAATTAGGACAGACGTCCCCCAAAGCCGGATGGCCGCTCTCAGGTTTCTCTCTGCTTATATCCCACTAAATGTCGCCTTATAACCAAAATTTATAAGATAACTAAAAAACATCCGATATTGGACATCTATTAGTCGTCTTTTAAAATCATATTATGGACACATGTTTTCGTTTTTTATATTTTATATAAATATTGTTTATAAATAAAAGGTTTATATTAATCAAACTTAAAGTTGTAACGATGCACCCCTTGCGCTAAAGCATCATTCCCGGCCACCACCCGCCGGATGCCGCCCGACCGATCCTCCGTCGGGCGAGGACAGGGCGCGGTGCGCCCACATTTTTAAACGCTTGAAACACACCGTGTGCGCGAGTAACACGCCGCACCGGTGCCTTCCGCACGACGCCGACGAGCGCCGAGGGGAGCCGATCCCCGCCGAAGACGAGCGCACGGGATCGCGCCGCTCCCACCACCGCGCGATTCGCCTGACGATCGGCCTCCCTCCTGCCAAACTCGCCGCGCCGAGCGATATATAAGCCGGCGCTCTCGGCAAGACCACACTTCGTCTTTACCACGGCTTTCCGCTGCTTCTGACGAAACCTACCGTCCAAATCCTAGGGCAACACATCAAATGGGGTCCAGAGTTCTGAGCCCCGACTGAGCCTTCTCAGGTGTCCCCGAACTCCGCCAAATTCACTCCCGACGGCCACGGCTAAGCGGGGTCGAGCGCGCTCGGCCTCGCAACGAGAGTTCTCGCTACCATAGCCCCGGGAGTCCGCAATCCTCCGCGTTCCCGCCCGCGTTCTCATACCGTTCAGTATCCCGCGCCGAGTGCACCTGCACTACTGTAGAATACCGCGTCCGTCTAACATATTGTAATCCCGCGTTACGTATACCGCGCCAGGTGCACATGCACTACTGTAAAATACCGCGTCCGGCTAATATTGTAATCCCGCGTTCAGTATCCCGCGCCGAGTGCACCTGCACTACTGTAAAATACCGCGTCCGTCTAACATTGTAATCCTGCGTTCAGTACCCCGCACCAAGTGCACACGCACTACCGTAACATACCGTGTTCATCTAGTGCCGTAATGTGCTAGTTTACACCGTACCTAAGTTTAATATGAATCAAGCTGGTGCGCATCAAACGTTTGATTCACATGCGTTTACACCATTTATATTATGGCTACGTTTCGATATTGTCAACTGTCAACTGAAGATCTATAGTTGTATGTATACATACATTGTAGAGTGAATATTGAAACGTAGCTTACGTTTATTATCGTCAATATTATAGAAATGGATATGGAAAAGAATATTGCAATTTTATTTTCCACTTTATTGGGATTTCTAAAAATCCAGCAAAATAATCGTAAAAGACATTTACGACAGTTATTTATTCAATTTTAGTTTAAACTGGTCCGCTGATTTTTTATAACCGTGCTTTTCTATTTCTGGCTCAAGCATTTTAAATATTTCGATATGTTTGTGTCTTTTGCCATCCATGATTGCTAATATTTGGTTTATCAATGCATAATTGCAAAAACACTGTTGTTTCTTGTTCCTCCAATTTAATCCTTTTTTATTTGACATTGTATGTAGATAGTATTTTCAGTACTGGTATATACGTAAATTGAATACTGCCGGTCGGGAAACATAACCTAGACAGTCTTATAATACGTACACCAGCGTTTACAGCGCTATATGTGCATTTAATACGCATACTATTTTGGTACAATACGCCTTCATGATACCAACTTAATACGCTATCGTTTACAC